AACAACTCAAATATAGTAGCGCTGAGACACGCTGTGGGTGTTTTGAAGTCACATGTTGTTTCCCGTGTTTACGTAATGTACTTCTATATAATACATACATACATACATACATATGTATGTAAGCATGTGTGATGCTATGTTTTTGGGGTAAAGTAAACACAAGCAAAAGTTCCCTTAAGGAATAGGTAAGTAAAGCTATCGGCTATGCGGTGAGTATTGTGTAGAGAGTTTTCATTCTTATGGTATCTCCATTGTGTGCGGATAAAAGTTGCTTGGGACTTCGAATGCTTTTGTGTATTTTAGCCACAAAAATACATATGTACATCATTATATAAATAGGCAATCATGTTTCCTTTACACCCCTTTTACGGCTAAACTGTACTTCTAAGGTATAAACAATTATATATCATTAGAAAGGTATTTTGATGCTGATGTGCAGGCAGTTTTTAAAATTTCAAATTAGTTTAAAATAGAGCGAAAAAATCAATTCAAAAGTCACACCAATACCAATGCCATACATGTACATGGTTGGGGCGGAAATGCCTCCTAAATGTATGCTTTAATATTGATAGTGAATTAAAGAAACGTGCTAAGCGGCAGTTTAGGAATAAGATGTATGTATGTATGTACATGAAAAGATTAGCCTCAAACAAGGATGAAGATAATTTTGAGTATGGAGAAGAAGAAAGGGATAAATACAGAAATTAAAATAAAAGTAAAGAAACCTAAATATAAAGACAAAGAGGAAGGAAAATTTAAATACCTAACCTAATAACAATGGTGGGGGTGAATATGTAAATGAAGAAAAGAATGGACATATTTAGATCAGGATAAAGGAAAGGATAAAGATGAAGACCAAGACGACGAAGGTGAAGATGAAGATGAAGATGAAGATGAAGATGAAGATGAAGATGAAGACGAAGATGAAGATGAAACACACCACAACTTAACCCCCACACCGTAATTCACCACACTTCAACTCTCTCACCACACCTTAACTCACCACACCTCAACTCACCACACACCTAAATTCACCACACCTTAATTCACCACACCTCAACTCACCACACGTTAACCCCCCACACCTAAATCCACCACACCGTAATTCACCACACCTCAACTTTCTCACCACACCTTAACTCACCACACCTCAACTCACCACATCTTAACTCCCCACACCTAAATTCACCACACCTAAACTCACCACAGATAAATTCACCACACCTAAATTCACCGCACCTCTTAAGCCCACCACACCTGAATTCACAGCGCCGTACCTCCCACACCCAATTCCACCACATCGCAAACCACCACACCCAATTTCCCCACATGACATGATATCACTTTATGTGGCATCAATGACATTGCTTTAATATTGATACTGAATTAAAGAAATCTGCTAAGCAGCAGTTTAGAAATCAGATTTACGAAGATTAAGATTCATGCAAGGAAGAAGGTAAAGTTGAATATGTAGAAGAAGAAAGGGATAAAGGCAAAGATTAGAATAAAAGTAAGGAAACCTAAATACAAACGAAGGTGGATATGAAGATGAAGATGAAGATGAAGATGAAGATGAAGATGAAGATGAA